ATGTGCACTGGCAGCCCAGAAAGCCAACTGTACTCTGGGCTGCATCAAAAGTGGTGCAGCCAGCAGGTCAAGGGAGGTGATTCTGCCCCTCTGCTTCAGTCTGGTGCAGACCCCTCCTGCAGTGCTGTGTCCAGCTCTGGAGTCCTTGGCACAGGAAAGACATGGACCTCTTGAAGCAGGTCCAGAGGAGGGCCACAATTATCAGAGGGGTGGAGCACCTCTCCTATGAGAAAAGGCTGAGAGAGTTAGGGTTGTTCAGCCTGGAGGAGAGAAGGCTGCGGGGAGACCTTATTGCAGCCTTTCAGTACTTAAAGGGGGCTTATAAGAAAGATGGAGAAAATCTTTTTAACAGGGCCTGTTGCAATAGGACAAGGGGTTTTAAACTAAAAGAGGAGAGATGTAAACTAGATATAAGAAAGAAATTTTTTACCATGAGGGTGGTGAAACACTGGAACGGGTTGCCCAGAGAGGCGGTAGATGCCCCATCCCTGGAAACATTCAAAGTCGGGCTGGACAGGGCTCTGAGCAACCTGATCTAGTTGAAGACGTCCCTGCTTGTTGCAGGGAGTTTGGACTAGGTGGCCTTTAAAGGTCCCTTCCAACCCAAAGTATTCTATGATTTACTCGCTACTTTACTACGTCAGTAATGTGGCAAGGGAGGAGGCACTTAGACTTCACTGGTAAGAGAATCATCAGAAATCTTGTCGTCTTTCCAGGGCTCAGCTCATGCTTCGAGCTCTAGGCTGCTCTGGTTCAATCCCTCATGTGTCAATCCATAAGCAGTTGTTACTCATCAACTGCAGTAAAAAATGACATCAGTCACACTCCTTACAATGGCATGAGAGGACAGACAAGCAATGTCATTGTGATAGACTTACAATTATTATACATGTCATCTTTTATATATTCTGCCACTTCATCAGTTATTGCAGCCATAGCCAGAGAATGAGCAGAGGTTTTCGCTGAGCTGTTTGTGATAATGTAGTATATTTTTCCTGAGTGATGACAGCTAATTTAAAACCCAACCTTAACTAGTTAAGGTTATTCCTTCCAGTATGAATTACTCCAGTTCTGCTAGCATGCCATGGTTCCCAGGACTGGTCTTCATACTGCTCTGCAGACTTTAGAATAACACCCTTTACTGTCTTCAAATTGTGTAAATGATGTGATTCACATTTGTCACATCAGGTTCATTCTTTTTTTATCTAGTTCAATCCTGAAGTTATGAAAAATGAGAAAAGGTGGTTGTACGTACTTTGTTGCAGAGCTTTCTGGTTCTGTTTTAGGTGAAGCATGGGTTTACTTGTCGATGTGCTGTGGGGCAGGTAGCAACACTGAGGTGCCCCCATGCTTAGGGCAGGGAAGGTGGGGAGATCCTTGGCTGTGCTGGGAGAACGTTCCTCATGTTGATCCAGCCCAGAAGGCTCTGCCTGCTGCACAGATGTGATTTACCATTCAAAGCACTCCCTCATACCTAAAGGGAATGAAGTAATCCATAATACTTTTTCTCAGAGCGTTAAGGACTGTTTTGACTCTACCTTTAGATTACATGCCAAGACTTGGACTCGGTGATTGTGGAAAGCTGAAGAGAAATTAAACTGTTGGTAGTGTACTGTGTTCCTAAGGACATGGTTTGCTATTCAGGTTTGAGGAAATCTCAGTTCAGAATTAATCTTTAAATTGATCTTCATAGTAATACTATCTTCACATCTGGATGCCTGGGCACGAAGACCTGGTGCAGTCTTGAAGCAAGTGTAGGATACTGAGAAGGTTTTTTACAGTCTGCCACTTGAACCATAAGAAATATCTGAGATGAATGTCGCTTCTTCTGTGCTATGTGTGTGTTGATATTTTATTAAATACTGAGACAACAATCTGTCAAACTAAGCTTTTAAACTGTGCAAAGAAGAAGTAACCATATGGTTAGGAATTTGTTTGCTGCATTAAACTCTCTCACATCAATATAACCAACAAAAGAAAAAAATAACAAGGCCATTATTACAGCTAAACTGAAAACATAAAACAGTTTCTACCCTAAGCTTATAAAAATTCTGGGTTCTGCTGGAACCGATTGTTCATCTGTGAGATGAAGGCTCTGAAATAGTCTGAAGAGAGAGGAGAAAGGGGCACGGATGAAAGCCTCCTTGGCATGTACTCAAGCGGGGTTATAGTTCACATTCAGACCCAACACACCCAGATGTGAATATAATTTATGGCATCTAATCAGGCTAACTCTATAAATACCTAAGGGAATATTATTAGTTAATTCCTACATCAAGTCCCTAGCCTCTGTTTCAGCTATCACCTCTCCTTTAGAAAGATGGTGTGATCTGTTTTAAATACTTAATGAAGGGTCTGGCATGTCTTGTCTTCTGCGCTTTGGTTAGAAGAGGGACACCATAACAAAATTTTAAAAAGGGGCAACAAAGACAACTGTCAGCACTTAGAGTTGTATGAAGAGTTTGAGTATGTTTTAATTCAGAGGTAATTATGCAAAATCCATTGCCGTTATGCTGGTGTGAGCATCAACAAAAGGATCACTACACCTCTCCCTCCTGATTTTTCTGTTATAATTGTGTCTAAGTTATAAGAAGTGCCTTTCTACAGCTATTTGATATTACTTACTCTACAGAGTGAATTAAAATGATGTTTTTGCTAGTGCTGTTACATTTAGGGGAATAGATTTTATTCTGTGATGCATCCAGGTTATCTGAGACTGTATTCTGACGGTTTATTTTAGCAAAGGAGTAATTGAATTCTCCTAGGGTGTTAGCCTGGGAATTGTATCAGCTGTGCTAAATCAATTGAATTATTGAGGCTATGCATTGCGTTAGCAATGCCTGTGCAGTACAAATCTTCCAAGGGAAATTATGTTTCTTTTCAGCTTGATATTCCAAATTTAAGTTTATCGCATGATAGTTAAATAACCTTCTGTGCTTAAGCACCTGCACTCAGTCAAGCAATTTTAAACCTGAGGTTTAAACCCAGTACTAGTACGTCATGGTCTGATGCTGTAAGGACACAGGTAGTAGTGACCATCTTCCACGTCCGAAGTTGCAGAAATCACCCATCAGTCTGCACAAACGACACCATAAAAAGAAGAGCGAACTGGGACAAAGCTGTTTTCAAAGCGTCAAATCCGATGTGACACATCGCTCTGCCTTATTGCTGATTTAAAGTACAGCAGCAGGCTTTCAGAGGTGAATCAAGTTACCACTGATGAAGTAAAACCAGAGATCCTTTAACCTAAATTTATCACACTCCTGTATTTCATATTGTGAATGGTAAAACAGCCCCAGACACAGATTATGTTCTTTAGTATGAATACCTCTGAAGGCTTTGACATTCAGTCAATGAAAAACAGACAGGTCATCCCTGTAGTAACAGTGTTAACTTTCTAGACTACTAGAAGGGGGATTTACAGTGCAGTGCTGTGAGAGCATATTTACATGCTGAAGCCAGTGGGGCAATACTTGGTAGTAATTTCTTAAAGGTACACTCAATGCCTTTTCAAAATTTTCCAGATAAACAGGTTATGAGACATTCTGCATGGACCAAAATTTGCTTATTTTTAACTCCAGGAGAACTTCTACTGAAGTCAGACTTAGCTTAACTTTAAGTTAAACTTAGTTTAACTTAGCTGTAAGCTTTAGAATTAGTTGGTCTCCTGGCTTCTGTTCATAATGGAAGTGGCATTGACCTTAAGGCACTTAAACCACGGGCCGTTCTGTCTGTCACAGGAGAGTGTGGGGTCAAAGAGGAGGAAGGAAATGCCAAGATTTGGCTTTCAGTTCTGTTCTTTGACGTTCAATTTTGAAGAGTGAGGAGTGCTGGGAGCATGTGCAAGAGCCGGCTTTGGGCTGTTGAATTCTGATTTGTGAGTGCCATCTGCAGACGGGGTAGGGATGCAGTTTGGAGGGGCTGGCTCATGTTGTTCACTCAGAAGAGCACAACTCCCTGAATGCTAATTTTGTCACTAGCTCAAGACAACATTGCCTTGTGGTGCTGCTGTCCTTGACTGTGGGAACCAGAGCTAACAGCCCACAGCTGGCCATCGAATTGAATTTTGGCCAAGCTACCAAAATTAAGTCCTGCACAAACCCTGTGATCCAAGAATCTCGGCTTTCTTTTCTGATAGTCGCTTGAGGTTAACTTTGCCCTTGTCTGCGTTACACATTGATGTTCTGACGTAGACAAGCCCTTGCTCCTTTTAGCAGGTAGATGTCTCGTCTTGAAAAACACACTGAGGTCAATGGTGAAACAGTTTACATTAATGGGTATTTGGAAATTTAAAGTTATGAAAATTGATGAGTTACTAAGCTGTTCTGAGCAAACTTAGGGATCGGTCCTATTTTTATTCCAATCAGTGCGAATAGTGGTATTAAATTACAAAGATTAATGTCAGAACAACTGGCAAAGCACCTGGCTTGTCTACGTGAGGGATTTAGTGCACAGTACCCAAAAGTGGCAGCTCTGAACTTAGAGTCCCATAGGCACACCACACGCATTCCTCATGGAACCCCTTTAGTCCTCGATACCTACAAGCCGCTTTTAAAACATTCCTTGAACAAGATGGTTCTTGCTGTGTGTTAAAAGTATGTGCTCAGTGGGTTCATGAAGAACATACAGTGAATTACAAATGCATGCTCAAGTTTACGACCTCCTAACTTCCTTCTGCAGGTGAGTCCTAAGCTACCTTGCACTTGGTGCCCAGTATGGTTGTGTTCGCTGTATAGAATTGCTTGCATTCTGTAAATTCAGAGACTTAACTATTGCATGTTAACTTGTTTTGTGTAGGCAAGACCATAATTACATTTTAAATCATGAATGGTCTTTAATCAAAAATAAGCATTGTGGTTGTAGGAGATTGTTGAGCTAACTGGCATTAAGTAATTTATTCTAATTAGTCATATTCTAGAGGATGAAAGAAAAAACTCCTCATAGTGAAGCTGCTAAATTGATCAGTATACTTAATCATCCATACCTTTTTTCCCAAACAGGCAGGAGAAAAACATTATCACCCAACGTGCGCACGATGTGTCAGGTGCAGTCAGATGTTTGCAGAAGGAGAAGAAATGTATCTTCAAGGTAAAAACAAACAAACAAAAAAACCCCACCCCAAACCCAAACCTCTTACACTTGGAGCATCGCCCTCTTGCCCATACTTGCTAGCATGGCTGAGCTGTTTTGCACATATTCTCACTTCATGACTACCAAGGAAAGTGAAGAATGCAATGTGTAGGCTAAAGAAAAGCAAAAACAAACCTTCATTGCTTCTTACTCGCTATTACTTCTCTCTCAGCTCAAATCCAATAGCAAGTGTGAATCACAGAAAGGATGAGTGGTAGTATTTATTTCCTGCAGATGGAAGTACTTGACAGTGAAAATTATAAAATTTTCCATTTACTAAAAAAAAAAAAAATGATGTGAATTTTTCTGCAGTGATGAATGATCCAGATGAAAGTTAACACACGGATGGGACAGCAGGTTCCCTAAAGCAGTCCTAAGTCAAATTTTGTACCTATTGCCTACTTGGGTACGAGGAGAAATTCTGAAGGTCCTTACCCGAATTGTCCTCAGTCAGATCTAGCTGCCCTCAGAGGGTGGAGAAGAGGATGTCACGGAACTGAAGCCCTTACCAGACAGTATACCTGTACTTTATACAGCCATAAGCTTGCATCGCTTAGGAGAAAGCTATGCAGGGAGAAATCCAGTCTTTCTTGTCAGGGGATATCAGTGGTAATAGAGAAGAACTTGCATAATTTATTCAATGGGGAAAAAATGTTATTTAACATAGATATGAGCTAAATTCTGTTTCATAGGTAGCAACTTTTAGCTGTTCTAAACTGATCAAAGACAACAATGTCTACACAGTTAAATACAGGGTCTGGCACTGAATTAAATCAAGGCTTTTGCCTAAGTCTTTGACTGGCAGTATCTTTTCAAAGGAAAACAGAAAAAAGAAACTCAGTAGGATGTGGGAACTGCAAGGCTGGTGTGCTATCCTAAAATCACATGCTTGCCCAGATCTGTATTACAACTTTGCAGTTGTCCACAGTTTTCTAGAAGCGTACTTTGAAATCATTCATTAAGCTGGAAAAGTTAGACTTTACTTAAAACACGACAGTGATCTCAGTAAGATCTAATTAGAATTTAGTACGTTATTTAAAATGACAATTTTATTGTCACTTTGGTTTGCAACAACAACTAGCTCATTAAAGGACATAATGATCCTTGTCTGTGCTCACGGATTCTCCCTCAGGAGCCAGAAAATGCTGTGGTTCTTCCAACTGCAAAGTAGCTTAGCAGTACTAAACCCCCCTGGGAAATCAATGCTTTAAAAAAAAAGACATCAAACTACAAATGTGTTTCTAGATTTCAAGCCCTCTGAAACTGGGTTGCAAGTGAATCTTCTTTTTAAGTTCAGTTTGTCATAAGGGTGGATATTTGTTGGGGTTTGTGCTGATTTTTAGTTCAAATAATCACAAAATATGCTCAGGTCCTGCTAATTTGGACCCATCTTACCCACTTCATTTTCTGGTGAAACATTCATACCAGCTTACAATCATACACTTTTTGTCTTCACATGAAGAGCAGTTTCCATTAGAAGCTGGTGTTAACTTCATAAAATATCTGTGATTAGGTATCTGGACTGCCTGACCTGGCTTGTTAGACAATGAAAAGTGTCAGAGCCCAGGGTTTTTAAACTTGTCCTTCGTCCCCTTAATAAACTACTGCAAAGTTCCTTCAGGTGTTCCATGTTCCTTAGCAGAAATCAAGTTGTCAGTGGTCATCCAGCAGATGACTTTTGGGTGAAAGGACTCCTTTTCTTCTGTGTGAAAAAGTTTCCCAGCCAGTTTTGCTTGACCACAGATAGGAGTAATTAAAAAAAAAAAAAAAAAAAAAGTTGATCTAAGTACTTCTGAAAAGCATTGGGAAGATTTACATCAACTTAGACAACCGTTGGGACAAATGGTTTCAGTGGGCAAGCTCAGCCCCACTCATAATTGGAAGATAAATTATCATTGAATTTAAAGGTGCTATAAAGATGTTTATTAGTGGTTCAGTCCCCAAAAACTTAAGTAACTTACTAAACATAAGTTATCTGGTCTGTACTTATAGTCTTTTACCGCTTGAGTCTGTGTTCTTCTGAGTTATTTTTGTGAAATAAATTCCAATGATCTCCATCTGTCTTCTGGGAAATAGACTTTCTGTTTCTATCTTGTTTCCAAAATCCACTGGTTAGAAAACTATCAAACTGCTGTGAAAACAAAGCATTTCAGATAAATCTTCTTGGTGCTCTCCACCCAGTATAAACATTAAATATTTATAACACAGAAATTCTCAACTTCCCAGTTAGTCAGGCAGAAGTTGCCATGCGCTCATATTATTTAACTGTGCAGAGCTTTAGCTTGTGGCTCAGACTGGCATAAACGTAAAGGTTCCTTTTTACTACTAGAATTTACAAATAATTCTTTTATTTATATAGTTACACATATTCCACTTCCGTTGAACGCTGAATATTGAACATTGTGTTCAACTTCTTAAATAGGGCTTTGGTGGGGTTTTTTGTGATTGATATAAAACTCTCAAGTTTATTTTTCATGCTTACGGTTACTTACATCTCTGGAGTTCATAATCTTCTCTTCAGTACTTAAATGCAGTAAAGAATTGGTTCATTCTGTCTTTCCTGCTTCCTCTAGGATGAATATTCCCCAGAATTTATGCAGTTTTTTACTATTTGACTTACTAGAGATAAACATATAGGAAGTGCAAGACCAGTACAGTGAATAAATCAGAAAGAAAGACTGGATTTTCAGCTAGTGTTAAATGCCGCAATACTACTCCGTCCCATCACAGTGTGCTACTTCGTATGACCTGGGCCAGACTATTACAAGAATACATATTATTATGTACAGGAGTACAGGAAATGCTGACTGCATATAAGGAAAAAAAAATTTCCACCGAGAGTGGAACAGGTTGCTGAGAGATGCTGTGGGATCTGCACCCTCAGAGGTAAGCAGAGCACAACTGGGCACAGCCCTGAGCTCCTGCTGTGATGGGACCTGCTCTGAGCAGGAGTTGGGCTGGAGGAGCTCCACAAGTCCCATCTCACTCTTCTTAGGGCTCAGGTTTTGATGTTGATCTCACATATTGAAGGCCATGTGGCTTTCTGAAGTGCACCTAGTCTTTAATGTGTACGTGACTACGCTCACTGATATTTAGAAGTTGTCAGTTTTAGCTTTGAAAGTATCCATGAAACAGTGACTGCAGTGGAATCAGTCAGTGTTCTGTGTCTTATAAAACCTTGTAGGAAGGTTAAATAAGGTTCTTATATTAAACCTTTTAAGGTTCTTATTGGGGAACTGAATTAAGCAGAACTTTAAATTTACTTTCCAGGTACATCCATTTGGCATCCAGTTTGTAGACAGGCTGCAAAGGCTGAAGAAAAAAACAAGGTAAAAATACCTTAATTTTACCCAGTGTTATTTCATTGTCATATTATTCTCTATGCCTTTTTTTGCAGTGGGCATGGAGGGAAGGATTTGGAATTTTTTCACTACTGTAATTTTAAATTTTAAATGACAGAAATCTAGTAAGTTAATGCAATATAATAATGTACTGTAAATATTCTGCTTTTACTTAGTGATTAAAGCTATGGCTTCAGGAGAATGCTGACCTAAGGGTTATGTGTATAAGCTGAATAAGGAAAAATGTGAAAATGAGAATAAGAAAAAAAAAGTTAATTTTTAACTTCTGTCTGATTATGATGTGATCAGTGCATGACCTCTTCTCTTTTTATGTGGCTCTGCACTTAAAAGATCAGAGGACTTTCACTTTATTTGTTTTTACAAAAAAATATCTCATTGGAATTTCTTTTTTATTATTTGTTTGTAAAATGTTGGCAAGCCAGCCCCAACTTAATTTAATCTCTGGCTTTAAGTACCTCCTTAAGTTGGATGATTTGTGCATCTGTCTGTGTGCAAGGGGAAAAGGGGGGAGTTCTGGCAACTTTAATAATTACAAGGTTTGCAGATGAATAAGCTGCCCCTAGGAAATGAAGAATTAATCTGTAGCTGGGGAAATGATCTCTCTGAAGTGGTGGGATTGAGATGCAACTCTCTCATTTACTGTGGAGGCCAAGTATGGGGTTTTTTAGTTCTGCTGTTCTCTGATGCTCCAGCTGGTATCCTTGTATCCTTGTACCCTGGTATCCTTGTTCATAAAAGCTCTGCTTTGATTCATCAAGGCTTGGACACAAGGCGCATGGGACAAGTCAGAACAGCAGGCAGCAGCTATAAAAAGAGTGTTTACAAATCTGGTGTGTTAGCAAGTGCAACTTTGACTAAATTATAGTTTTGAAAAAAAATTTGGTTTGGGCTTTGCCCTGAAGGATCTTGGCTGAATTTTCTGTACCCGTGTGTTTGGGAAACCATTGCTCTGGTGTTCTTCATGGCAAGCTCTGAATATCGAATAAGTAGCATTTCAGTATAAAATGTATTGTTTAATATGTGTGTATTTAAAATTGTCAAAGTACTTTAATGAGTGCTGCTGATTCAGCCTAATACTATTAAGCAGTATTTCAGGCTTCCTAAGGATTTTATTCTGGCTGAGTAACTGAAGTTGGAAGGCTAAACTCACATGTAATTTATTGAAAAAGTAGTAGGGTTTGGGGTTCCCCCACTTGCCCCCCCTTCAGAGAAAGACAGTGTACAAGGTTGTGCTGGGTTCCTACTTGGCTGCCTTTTCCTCACAAAGAAAGTGTACTTGTAAGATATTGTGTAAAGGCCAACTCATTTATAACACATCTCTCTCGAGTGCTGGGAGTCTTCTCCCTCCCCAGCACAGAGAAAGATATCTGTATCTGAAAGTCAGTGGGAGTTTTGTCTGAGTAGGGGAAAAAACCAGAATGGATCTCAAAGAATTTTTCCAAGTCTAGTCATTTTTCCTTTCCTTTGGTTTTTCCTCTTTTTCTTTTGGTCTTTATGCTCATTATTGAAAAAAATGAACTAAGAAGAAAGGATGCCGTTTCAAAGAGGGTAGTAGACTTTTCAACATAACTGGGAAAGTTGGGAATGGGATATACTGGTTAAGAATTTTCTGGTCAACCTTTGCAGTTTGCTGGTTTTTAGACGTTATCTTTCTATATATTTATATAGAAATATGCACAGCATTTAATTAAAGTAGGTGACAAAGGCCAGATGGAGTAAGTGGCAGCACACTCCAAAATGTTGGAGATGGAGTGGAAGGGAAAATGAAGATGTGAAAGAAAGTGAGAGCAAAAAGAAAAATGATGGGAGAGTGAGATTAAAAGCAGAAAGATGAAGCTAGAAAAGACAGAAGAAATCAAAGTAGCAAGAGAAAGAATAAGGATTATCAGAAGTCTCATAAAGGAAAAAGAGGTAGGTGGAAGGAGAATAAAAATGCACAGTACGGAGAAAAGAACTGAGCAGAAGCAATAGAGTCAACCAAGATGTGAGGGTTTATTGCAAAAGGTAGGAGATTATGTGCAGCAGGCATGGACTGGGGATACTAAAAGGAATAATGGATCATACAGAGAATAAAGACCATGTGTGAGATGTGGAATGAGCAGGTTTTAATCACCAGGAGGAGAAATGGGAAAATTCATGGGAATAAATTAATAGCATGAGAAAGCATGGAAGCAATCTGCAGAGGTACCTTAAAAAGATGAGGCTCTACATTTCGATTGCAAAAATTAGAAAATTTAATGAGCTTTAGTTCTTCTTAAAAACAGGATGGCACCTCTAAGTGAAGGAAAGCCCATGAAAAAACTCCAGGAATTTATTAAGATTAAATATATTTTGCCAGGTATGTTTTGCATCTTAAGGTCATGCTGCACTGTGTGATCTTAAAACACACTCCACTGGTGCACATGACATAGTGAAGCTCTGAAGCTTTATCTGGGGTATCCTGAGGTTAATCCAAAGTTGTCATTTGACTTTAATGGGGTTTAAAACATTGAAATAGTGCAGTTTTCTTCAGGGTTTTTTTCTCTGCCATATTGGAACTCCTGTAGGGACATCCTGAAAAAGAAGTATGGTTTGCACATGAAATCAGTGAGTTGATGATACTTTCCTGTCCTTTACACAAGTTCAGGAAAACTGCAATGTGTTTTAACTATGCAGAAGAGCAATGCAATTCCACTGTCCGTGTTGAATGATCATCTCAGCGGCAGCCACAAGTATTTCTCAGAGAATGCTCTTATTTCCATGCTAGTGTTTGGCTTGTCCCCTCCGACCTTCTGAGCCTGTCTAGAGCCTCAGTGTGAGAAAACTGAAAATGAGAGGGAGAAAATTCCAAAATCCCAGTCAGACATGACAAAGCAATTAAACTGAATCTTTTTTATATGGATAAGTGTCTCCACATACTGTCTCAGAGAAATCCATAGGACAGACTGGGCTAAAGAAGGTCAGTGGAAAGGGTAGTTGTGATCATTGAGTTTGTTTGCTCTGCTAGCACAGTACAGTACAGATATATTCCCACATGGCTTCTAAAAGGTAGCAAATACTTCAAGACTGGAGTAGTAAGAAGGATGCTACCGTGACCTGACAGCTTAATAATGCTAAAATCCTTTTAAGGGTTTGAATAGTTGTAACCTCCAGGTGGGAAGCATCAGCCTTTGATGAGACAGTAAACGATGGTCATTCTGAACATATGGAAAAATATGTACTTTTTGCAGTCAAGGACAGGTTTTTTTCCATAGATGGGAAATAATACTTTATGATGAATTAATATATCTGGATAAAAGAGGGTATAAAACAACTGATTTCATAATAAGATTTGTTTAAACTTCAATTATGAATGTCGTGTCTGTTCGCTCATGGTTAATATCGTGGCTCACAACACTTTGTTATTTAAAAGTAATTATATTTTTCATCATAAAGGAATCTACCAAAAAGAAGGCAATAAAGGTCTGTCACTCTGAATGCCAGAATGATTGAGAACAGAGCAAAGCCAGTTGAGTATTAATATTAATCTGGTAGTCTTACAACAAGAGAGGGGAAAGCTAACGCATTGGGTGTCTGATTTGGGATGCTCTGCAGGATGTCACGCTGTTTGCTGTGAGGGAATGGCACGGTAGCATGACACATTCCAGAAGCAATGTAGATTGGTTTGATGGTATAACCTCAGAGTAAAGATGCTGCCACCGCATCGTCCTGTCACCCCAGACTCAGAGCTGCTGTAACTTGCCTTGTCCCTGATAGTACCTAACGGCTGTCCTGGCAGCCCAGAAGTGCTCCAGGCCATTTCTTTCTGGAGGGGAAAAGAAAGTCATACATAAAATCATTTTTACATTTTCAAAAGGTCAATTTGATTGACTGCAGGTATTCTTTTATTTTGAAGTCTTTGATATGCCTGTATGTTTTGAGCTCACTGTAATATGGCATTTTTGAGTGGTAAAGCTTAAATTTAATTAAATGTCTCACATGCTCTTTTTGAAATAACAGTTACATTTTCTCTCTGTCTCCTCTATTTCTCATCTGTTTCACTTTTCCTGCCATAGGAAACGAGGACTTCCTCTGAGAGTATTATTTCTGTACCTGCTTCAAGTACATCAGGTTCCCCAAGCCGTGTGATCTATGTGAGTATTTCATGGTGAAATTCCTTCTGGGGGATGGGGAAAGCCCCGTGATTTCTCCTACAGTTTAGCGCGTTGTGTGGAAAGCGAGTGTCTCCAAACCACTGCAGTTGGTGATTCCTCTAAAATGGAATTTACTTTCTCACATTTAAAATGTTTGAATACTGCATTTACCATAACAGAATTCTGGCAGTTTCCTGTTATTTTTTGTGGTGTATTTATAGCACTTACATTACCACTAGAGCTGGCCTATACCAAAGCATGCGAAATACCGCAGTGCTTTCTAAAAAGAAAAGTTTAAGTAAACAGTACAGCCCACAGGTAGATTACAAGCTTAGATTTGAACACAACTTGTCTAAATCGAGCTCTTGAGCCTGCATCTGATTGCTTATGAAAACACTGGTGCGTGTGATTGCAGGACCCGGGCCTTGGCGAATGCCAGTCACTAACCTCAGAGGACCTTTGATGTGTTTATGGTTTAAGAAGTGCTAGCTCTGGAAAGCTCACTGAGAGAATTTAAAATAACAAATATGATAAAAGCTTATGCTGAGTATTTTTTTCAATACCAGGTGTACCTTTCTTGTCATAATCGCTGTTGCTAATGTTTGTGGCCAAATTCTCAAGGCTATAAGTAAAAAACATCCATGAGTGTGGCATGTTCTGTACAAACATCTCTTGGAGAGCTTCAGTATTCCCGGGTGTATTCTTTGTCCTGTCTGAGTATCCCTCGGGAAGGCAAGTCATTCTCAGTGGATACGACCGTATGCAGAGGAAATTGCTGGAGATGTGATTGACTGCCAGAAGGGTCAATCAAATAGGAAGGTTAAGGGCTTTTATCTAGTACACTGAGGAAAGCAAAACAGTGCCTTGAAGACAAGCATGTCTTCTTTCTTCAAGTAAAAAATATTTTGAACTCAGTACACCCTTTATCTCAGTAAGACTGAGCTGGAAGTGTAGGAGATGCCCCTTAGCTAAATGCTCATCGGTGTTTCTGAGTTCTCCCAGCAGAGCTCCATGCTGGTGGGTAGCAGTGGTACATTCCCAGTAAAAAAAAAAAAAAGTCGTTGCCTCAACTCCTATGAAGACATTTCGTTGTGCTAGGAGCCTGTTATCATGTAAGCATTTTCTTTGGCCAGATGGTCTCTATCTCTCCAGCCACGCACCATTTCATTGTTTTTATAAGCATGAGCATTCTTCTAAGATTTATATGTTTTTAGTGACATTTATCTAACTGTTGGATGGTACTGTTTTTCTTGATGTTTGTGATTACAGCTTTAAAAAAGCTTCACAGGCTGTTAAAAGTTGAGGACAAACCTCCACTTTCTTATTCTGTTTTTTCAAAGGATATCATTAAATCAGCACACAACTCTAATGGTTGTTACTGTAATATACTTTAGAGGCAGCTGGGACTGTGAAAGAATAAAGTTCTCTAGCAAATATGAGTCAATTAGGAAAAACCATTCCCCAGAGGCGTGCAAGTTCTTGCTATATCTGTCTCATCTCTGGCTGCTCAGTTGTCAGAAAGCTGCGAGATTGATTAAAACCTATTTTGGCTTTCATAAACAGGAAAGTAAAAAGAATTAAAAACATGTTATTGGACTTCTATATTATCAAAATGATTCCTTGTCTATCTTTTGCATCTGTTTTGTGTTATGGGAGTGTTAGGACATACAGATATGCTCAAGATTTGGCTTGGGTGCTTTCATGATTGGTTTTACCAAACCTAAATTCATGCTGCCGCTGAAAGGAAGGTCCCACCCACATGTGGCCCTGTCCTTCTCCAGCCATGTCTTCCTGTCTCCAGTTTGGTGCTAGTGCTAGAGGGTACAAAGAGGTATGATCGGTCAGATTTGAGACCAGATTCAGCTGAAAAATAACCCAGGAAAAACCTCCAGCCAACCAAAGAGGCAAAAAAAGACCCAGCCGTCTATGTGTTTCTAATGCTAAGGCAGAAGGCAGAGCACAGTGGGAAGGTGCACACAGGACAGCCACTTTCAGCAGTAGCATGGATTCAGGTCATTAAAACCAATAGTAAATTGTACCTTAACAACTGGTGAGCTCTGTGAAGTATTATGTTGGACAAAGGCGAATTTAGAGAAAACAGTTAAAGCTTAGGAACCATGAATTCGTGGTGGTCATACTTTCAAAGACATCAAGTCAGAGCAATGCAATCATTCTGAACAACGTGCCATCTCATGGGAGATGTGTTTCTGGGTCATGGTTGAGTGGTCAGTTAGGGAAAG